GGTGGATCGATCCACCTCCTGTGAGCATCGGCAGCTGTCATTGCTCCGTTCGACGCGTCTTCAACCCAAAAACGCTCCCCGGTGTCTCGCCTTCCTTCACAGCACATTGCATGTGCAGCCGTGTTTGATTATCTTGGCACAAAACGAAAATGGCAAGTGTGAAACAGTTGGGCTAAAACCTTTGCGTCGCAAATGAAGGGTCGGATTACAGAAAAATCTTCATCTGAGGAGCTTAACTTGTGGAAGACAGTCCTCGAATCACCTTCCACAACGATCCTTGGCAAACCCAAATCCAGCGCAAAACGCAAACCATGGATCACCGCTAAGATTTAGGAGGAGTGCAATGATCGGAGAAAGAGTGAGGCATATGACCAAGACGGAAGTTTGGAAAAAGATCCCACCAACTGGAATTCGTGACCCCGCGATCTAAACGTTCTCTGATATTAGAGGATTCAAATCTGCCTCTTTCCCAAGTAAACCAGTTTCCTGAGAAACCCAAGTCTTCTAGATTACAATCAGTCAACATAGTACGAAAACCATTCATTTGTCTTTCGCTACGAGGCAGGCCTCATTGTTTCTCATGAGAGAAAGCGGTTTCGTTGAAATCGCTGATTACAGCCACGGGAGGGAGGGAGAGTTGTTCAGTTGACGCAGAAGATTCCAGGAAGCAAGTCGGTTACTTTCTTCTGGATCCCCATAGAAACCAGTACAGCGCCAAGAAAAACCATCAGAATCATCTATTAATAAGACATCTATGTGACGATCAGAGAGAATTTAAAGAAACCTGAATAGAATTCAACCCAATTGATAAGCCGCCACTTCGACCATTGGAAGCTACATCGATTCTGTTAGGAAAACCACAAACCTTACGCACCTTTTCCATTATTGTACTCTGTAATTTGGTTTCAGTCAGAAAAATTAGAGAGGAGTTTAAGTCTCACAGCATACACCGGAGACGACGAACAGTCCGAGGCTTCCCAAGACCCCGGACATTCCAGCTTAAGAGTTTCATTGGGAACGGCGGGTCTGATTATCCAGACCGACCAATTGTGAGTTGGAAGCATAGTTCGAATCATTAACAGATAAATTTATTATCCAGCTTAAAAGTTTTCGGACATCCAACCGGATTTTAACACCCATAATACCTTTGTAGCACATGTTGATGGCACCAGAGTCATATTCCAAAAATTCTCCAAGAAAATTCCCCAGCGATTGAGCAACTGTAGTAGAAACAAAACCAGGGGGACATCTTGCACTTGCATCCATAGAACGATATGATTCAGATCCACTGTAATAGTGTTTTCTCCTTCCTGCAGATGATGCTAAATTAGCATGTGATTATTGAAACTCCAAGGTCCTCCTGCTTCAATTCTTTCCATGTTGACCTCATGGTAGAGCCTGAAAAGAAATCTCCCATCTCCTATATCTGAGATGGATATGCCACCCAAAGGACGCCCAACACTAGCCAAGGTGGATCGCATTGCCTGGAAGTGAACAACACTTGTTGTAAGAAAAGCGCCGACAAAGCAATTTTTATAAGATATGCCCAACTCCTGTTGAGGTTGGTCGATAGTGATAATTTCATCTTCGTCATTCATATGTAGGGCTGCCAAATCTGTTTGTACTGTAGAATCCATGAAAAACAAAAGGACAAAAGGAAAAGGATAGAGAGAAGTGCCACAAGTACATAAAAACGTGTTACAATAGCAGAGGAAAAAACATATTATATAGATTCTTTTTTATTAATGTAGAGACACAAAAGCTTACACAATAAATTTATCTCATAAGCTTTTCGGTTCAGACAAATCCTAAGTAATATGCAGAGATACAAGGTAACACCATTGTGGAAGTTTATTATTATTATTTTTAAATACATTATGCATAAATAATAAAAAAAATCAATAAATATATTTTTTCCCTACAATATTTGAAGAATTGTACAGAGACTCACTAAGCAACCGATCCAAACATTTCCCAAATCCAGCGAAAATGGAATTTCCTAATTGTGCAATGCATGAGTTCAAGGCTTTCTTTTTCATTATTGTTCGATGCTTTCTATTCTATTTTTGCTTCCCTTTTCATCCATTTCTTATAATGATTGCTCCATCTTCAAAACTATATATATATATATATATACACACACACACACACACACTGATTGTTCCCGATTTAGATTTTATAAGGTTATGAGTAGTTTAGGTAATGCACAAAGAGATTAATGATTAAATGATGTGTGCTACTGTTAAGCAAGACAAGCAGACGAATATGGAGATGGAATCCTCAACGTCTTCAACCATTCATCAAACCCTCTTCCAATGTTTTCGCAAAATGCGAGGCCGTATTTCCAGAATTTCTTCTGTAAGAATCCATCCTTGTTTAATGTTTGTAATATCTATCAATTCTTTGTTGCTTTTGTCGTTGTTAAAACACTAGGCTATCTGAAATGCAATCCGGTTTCTGGCAACATGGAGTTTCAAAATAGTCTGTGGGTACCATATATGTGTTTGAACTCGATTCTCGCTTTCATTTCCCTACTACTAAAATGCTTTTATCTATCCCCTTATAATACGCAGTGCATCAAATTCAAAGCTAAAAAATGGAGTTAAGGCGCAGTCTTTATGGGGCTAGAATGCAGGGATCGTCTTCCCAACTCATTACTTTCAACTGCGTCTCAATGAGCGAAAGAGCTACCTTGCTGTACATGCATCAGGTTCGAGCTATCATTATTGCTTCCTTTTTTCCCTTGAATAATAGTAACACTCTTTGTGCCTTATATCAGTAATGAGAAGAATTCCTTGTCATACTTGTTGCCCAATTTGTTCTTAAGCAGAACATTGAAGCTGCAGTACATTTAACTAAACCAAAACCTCTATTATATACATTTATTTATGTACGTTCACTGATTTGAGAACACTTAGAAAACGGTTTAGCTAACAATGATGTCTACATGATGAGCTTGCCAAGCATATTAGACTCCAGGATAATTTGAAAAAGCATTTAAAAGTTATACGTGCTGGAAGACTAAATTTATAATTGCAGCACTTAACCTGAAATGTGAAAAGGTGATTGTGGAAATATCTATGGCTTGGTTCGTAATAGATATTTGTTGTATAAAATATATGATGCATTAAACCCACATACATTTTATGTCATATATGACTTGTACCTTGTTTGAAAATCCAAATGTGCTTGAAATGAAGGCGTTCTTATCATTTCCTTTTAACTTTTTGCGGTTTGATTGTTTTTCCAGCATATTCATAATATAAATTTCAGACTCTTCTGGCTAAATTATTGCTTGAAAATCTTTACAAATCATGAACTGTTTGAACATCCAAATCAGCTTGAAATGAAGATGTTTTACTTCTTTCCTTTTCATGGCTATATTATTTTCCTGCATATTCATAATATAAATTCGATTCTCTACTATTTAAATTATTGTTTTGAAACAAATCATTCCTTGTTAGAACATCTAAATGTTTTAGAAATGAAGATATCCTTGTTACTTATTTTTCCTTGCTTTACAGGTTGATATTGAATTTTGAGTGAAACTTTTGGTTTTTTGTCCTTATTGGCGTAAGTAGAGCGTCATCATGATAGAGCATTTTTTTTGCTCAGTGTACATATGTCAATTCTAACTCTCCATGCAGCGATACCTTTTCTGGCCATTATGTGTTAATATCTTGGCGAATCCACCTAGGTTTCCTTAAATGGGAAATTAATTTAGATACCTTATAAAACGGTCTTGTTCTCCTCATCAGAACTTCACAAACAGAGAAAAAATACAAGTCTTCTCAATTTTAGTTGAAAAATCAAGAAAATTCTTTCATCGCTGTTTGCTCGTAAGAGGCAGAGTTGGTAATTCTGTACTTCTTGGATTATGTCTGAAACTTAGAGTACATTCTTCGATTTTTTATATTTTAAATGCTCTGGTTGCTTTACCATTTTAAATCTAACCCATAGAGTTTTTTGAAATCATGTTTATTTTTATATGTATGCATCGTTTACATTATTAAATTGGATTATTTTATTGCAACACTGTTGGTTATATTCTTTAGGAGATCAGTTTCACTTATGTTAGATTGGGGAAAAAAATAAAATATACCCATGAGAAAAAAAGTCTTAATCTGCCCATAAAAACAAGGTTGCTTTTTTTATTTTGTTTGTTGATGTTGTGTGAGCTAAAGAATTGTTTTTATTCATGATGTATCCCGTAAAAATGTAGATATTCTACACTCTTGTTAGGCAACGGGTCCAATTTTTAGGTGATAGTTATATGATAATATTGAAACTGCTATTGGTTTGGGGTTGACAATCTTGAAATTTAAACTAGCTTGGTCTAAGGCTTTTCAAGCAGTGCTTTTGTGTAGCATTGTGCGTAAGTTGGTCACTTTTGGTATGAGAGATAATGTTGTTTATTGGATGGGATGCCAAAGGAAAGGAGGAAGCACAGAATGGAAGAATCCTTACTTCATATGGACAATATATGTCTAGCATTCTCTATGTCTCTGTCTTCCTCTAACACTCTTATTATTTTTCTTTATTAGGATTTCAGTTTGTATTAGTGTTTGTAAATCTATATAAATGTAGTCGACTGTTGCTATTACCAGTGAAACTATTTAATCCACCTGTCTACCTTTTCCTTAGAAAAAAGAAGTGTTGCCGAAGTGTCCTAAAACAAACAAAATTTTTGATGCACATGCATGTAACTTGTCTGATCTGGACAAGAACTATTGCATTGTCATCATAATCTAGTCTTCCTCTAATATTTTCCTGAATTAGATACTATTGAATTAGATTTTTTTCCTAAAACAAGTGAAACTAATTATGCTAGTTTCTTGTTGTTCAATTTGAAATTTGACATGAAATTTTTTCACTCTGTACTGTATTTCTTACCTTGACATTTATAGTTTGACTTTTGAAACAGGTCAACACAAACAAAGGGGGGAAATTTATGCATTTTTGTACTAGTAAAGGTACAAAAGTGCATCTTTTGACATGTGGGGTATATAGAAGGAGTCCATGGATAGCTGAATTGGATGCACGGAAAGCACAAGTGAGGAGTCAAAATTAGGGCAATGTGATACGTGAAGTGAAGGACGAGGAGGAACCAGAGAAGGGGCAAGATATTTTGAAACAAAAGCGCAGAAGGAAAAAGATTCAGGCCAGAACTGTCCAAGATCTTGTTGTTAATTCAGTTGAATATAAAGTTCAGAAGGTACCTTTTGTTGCTTATCCATTTCAAATGTTTTACCTTGCAGTTGCACCCATTATTTTATGCCATAGTTTTATACTTTTGTGACACAGGTAGATTGTTGTGTCAGTTGATTCCAATGACTACTAATTTAGTCATTTATGATATTATATATGTTCCAGGAATGGATCCTATCAAAAGCTTCATTACTCCATAGTTATGATGCCAGTGATCTCTAAGCTTAGTTGGAGTGTCATTTGTTGGTAACTGGTGCTGTTTTAGATGATAAATTGAATCTAGTGTGAAAGTTTAAGTTGGGATCTATATCACAAAGATCTTGAAAAAATAAAGAAGGTTATTACTTTCCATTTAAAGAAATGATGTTATATTTAACAAAAACAGGATTTTAACTGATATATGTACAGTTTTCTAAAGTAGTACTAGAATGGTAACATCTCATTCTTAAGAATCTTTCTAGTTTCTACAGATTATTTTTGTGTCTTGATTGACCAGTCAAAAATGTAACACTTCTCTTACTGCAATTGCCGTCCAGTTTGTCTATAATAGTAGAGCCATTTTCTGGATAATAGGTGTTACTGTGGTATCTTTTAAATACAAAATATGCTAGAAGCGGATGAACAGTAGGGGCGGGCGACAGTTTTCTTATGCAAATATATGAAAGTTGATTGGCACTAGATTACTGATACATTTTATTTCTGTGTTTGTTTGAGATAGCTTTTGTTAATCTATTTTAGTTAATTTTCATATTATGTTGAAGCTTATTTGATCAAACTGCAGACTGACGCAGGGAATGAAGAAGATGGCCTTGTGAAAAATGCTGGTTAGCTCATGCTTTTAATTTAAAACTGAAAGTACAGTTTTATCAATTCTTATGTGTAATCGTGATGATGTATTCCTTAGTTGTTAATTTATTGCCCATCGTACATTGAAAAGTACAGTTTTATCAATTCTTATGTGTAATCGTGATGATGTATTCCTTAGTTGTTAATTTATTGCCCATCGTACATTGAGCAGCTATCGTTCCTTCTGGAGCTGCAATACCTGGAAAAGGCAAGCTTGAACTATTACTTGGTATATTGCAAAGGTATGTAGTTATCTTGTAGAGTAGACAAGCTCCCATAATTTCAACTAAGAAATATAATGGATTAAATATCCTATTTCCTTCTATGAGAGAAAAAATATCGACTTGTATGCTAGTGATTGATTAGAAATTTGTTTTTTCTATTTTCCTTTTCATCTGAATTGTAGGAGAGACACAAAATATTTGCAGAGCCAGTAAACCCAGAAGAGGTAACTGTCTTATTGTCTTCTTTTTCAAGTGCTCTAGTTTCTCTATCCATGATAACATTCCCTTTTCAAAATTTTCAAAACCTTTGATTATTGTTTAACATCTTGAAACTTTACACTTTCTAATATCTATAATTTCCTAGCAAAACTAGGATTTCACTCTACCAAGAGACCTCTGTTCCAGAATTAAGAATCCCAGGCATGTTTAGACAAGTTTTTATATTTTCATTCCTTATCATTTCTCTTAATGGCGAGTAAGGTGAGAGTTCCGGTTGGGAAAAACTGTGTCACTGTGATCATTTTCAACATTCCAGAGAGTTTTCATTACAAAGGTCTTTGGTTATTTTTCGATAAATATGGCGAGGTGGTGGATTCTTTCATCCCCAATAAAAGAAGCAAGGGAGGAAGTAGGTTTGGTTTTGTTCGTTTCACCAGACTGGAGGACGCGAGGAATGCTATCAACTGTGTTGATAGATCTTGGATTCAAGGCAACAAAATTAGAGTATTCATGGCGAGATATCTTCCTCGTGATGTTTTCTGGAGGAAGAAGTTCTCTGGTCCTTATTCAGTCGAGGGAAACAATGTAAGGAAGGATGTTAGTCACATGGTGGCTCCCATTGCTGGTTCTGTTGACGACAGTAAATTCTCAACTCTCAAAGACAGCTTGTTAGGATGGTGCAGAATTTTTATTAAGTGGGTAGAGTCGTCTTCTTTTGAAGAGGCAGTCGTATCCCCGTTATCCAAGGTGAGGGAGCTCGTTGGTGCCTTTCCAGTTAAGTTTCTTGAGCTGGAAGAGGGTTCTGAAGAAGCTGGAAGTTCCATTCACTCTTCGGAGGTGCAGTCGGCCGTGAGGTATTCTGAGAATGAAGAAATTTTTTTCTGCTGTTTGGGGACTAGTGCTAGAGGCAGCATCCTGTCGGGTGAGGGTGTGGAGGACAGGAACATAGGAGAGGCTTTGATGATGGGTCCGAGGAGCGCAGAGGATGGTTCTTTCCCAAATAGAGGGAGTGGGGGAACACAAGACATTGCTGGTGCATGCAGAGAGAGAAGCAGTGGATGTCTTTAAGGACACTTGTTTGCCTGCACGTGGTTTTGTGGAGAGTAAGGATTTTTTAATTAATTCTCCCATCCAGGATGGTCTCTTAGTGTCAAAGGAATTGGAAGATGTGAGCCTAAAGGATAAAGTGGATCTGTTGGTTCACGTGGAGAGGGATAATGAAGTTGCCTTTAGGAAAAATAGTGAGTCTGCATGTGCTTTTGTATGCTCAAAGGATTATTTTAATGATTTCCCCATGTTGGATGGTCGGGTTGAGATAAGGGAGGTGGAGGAAGGGATTCACGAGGGCTGTTCTTACAACTACGCATTCGTAAATCCAAAGGGTATCGCAAGGCAGTACATGAGATCTAAGGTGGGTTCTGGCAACAAATTTAGATCTAAACAATTTTTTCAAGGGAATTTTACAGCTCCTAAAAGAAAGTATAGGGGTTCCCGAAGCAAGAGCCATCAGAGTAAGGTGCATTGGGAGGAAGAGGTGTCTGTTTTTGATGGCAGATTCACTTATGAATATGATTTTCCAGCATTGGGGCAGTCTCAACAGAAGGATACGTTCAATTCCTTGCCTTTTGGGAAAGATTTGGGTTGTGAGTCTAATGGCGCAGTAGTGTATCTATTGTCGGAAGACGATGGCAGGGGAAGGAGTAAAAGGTTCAGGTGATCTACACCATGCTTTTTGTCTGGAGCTGGAAGTTCGGATGGTCTTTAGCCAACAAGACGTGGTGATGTGGTGGAAAGGCGGCTATATGCATGTTTTTTTTTGTTTTCTTATCATGTGAAAGCTCCGTGGCCTTTGAGTTAGAAGTTGGCTTTTATGGTTTTAGTCAGCTGTCACCCTTGGCTTTTTTCTGGTTGTTTTGTTTGATTGAGTGTCTATCGGGCCTCGTTTAGGTTTTTTGTTTGGCCAGTCTTTTTTAGGCTGTTGTTGTTGCTTTGTTGGATTAGGCTGGTTCTGGTAGGATTGTTGGTGGCTGTTTTTGGTGTTTTGTTCATATTGGGGATGGCTCCCTGGTTGTATCGTGTTCTTTCTATGGTTAATAAAATCTTAAGGCACTCTTTTCCTCCTTCCGCTGATTAAGGAGCTTCTCTATAAGTTCCTTTAATCATGAAGGAGGTTTTTAACGAGGCCTGCAATTCCTATAAAAAAAATATCTATAATTTCGATCAAACTTAAAAAGATGGACTCAAAGCTAAACATTATTTCATTGTTTTTGAAAAATTCTGAAGAGGAGCTGTGATCATGGAAAGAAACATAATCAAAGGGGGTTAATTAACTTCATTTCTTAAAATGAAAGGTTGAACACAATTATGATGTCATCAAAGAACCAATGGATTTTGGCATGATTGCAAAGAAACTGAATGAAGGAAGTTATCAAACACTGGAAAAATTTGAGGTCTGCTCCCAAAAGGCTACCTTTTATGGGGCTTATTGTCATATAAAATTTGTGTATCATTTTAGTTAATTGGTTCCTTTCATACTTTTACACAGCAAGATGTATTTTTGGTACCCAACAATGTCATTCTTTTCAATGCTTCAAATACCATATACTACAGACAGGTTTATGTGAATTTTGTGACATTATCGTCGACAACTTGGCCACAAAATTTTGATGTTCTTAGAGAACTAAATGATTTTTGGTTTTCCAGGCACGTGCACTGAAAGAACTAGCTACAAAGCTATTCCATGCTCTTAAAACTGATCCTAAAAGCTTCGAATTTGAAGCTTCCCTACAAAGAATGGGACTTGGTAGGAGGACAAATGCTGGAGTTGGAATTTTGAACTGTAACAACAAGAGTAACCCTAGCTAGGGGTAGGTCATGCTGTCCAATTGGGGGTATCTAGTTTTTATTATTATTATTGAAATTTAGTTTAAGCATGTCTCTCTCTTTTTGCTCCAACTATGTATTGATCAAAAAATTAATGTTACTTATTGATATAAGTATCAAATATTAAGAAATAAAATATATACATATTGAGATCTGCAAATACAATGCAGCAATAGATATGTTTAGTAATAAAGGTTGTCATATAACACCCAAACGTGTGAGATTCTCTTTTGTGCTTAGCTTAATCTTATTCAAATTAATTTAACGGTTTTCAAAATTATTTTTAAACAGGCTATAGAGCTCATGGAAGATTTAATGATGTTGATGTGGAAAGGCGTCAAACCTCTAGACCTTGGAAATATTTACTTAGTGAGAATGGATCTTTAGTCTCGGCAGTTTATAACAGTTCAAAGCCACTTGTACTGGTGAGTATTGTTTCTTATAATCTTGTCAAATACACAATCTTCTTTACTTCTATAATATGTTAAACTAACTTCATTACAATTAATGTGAAGTATGCTTTATATAAAATAACATACTCCTAAAGACTATAATCTAATCTTAAGTACTTCTAAAGATGAAACATTTCTTAGTGTCGTAACCCGTTTTTGCCCGGGTACGAATTTTTACTTGGCGGGAAAATAAAATGAAAAAAATAAATGATTTTGATTTTAAAAAATGTTTTGGGAGTCACCATTGACATTTTTGGGTTAGGTAGGTCAAATATCTAAAAATAATCTTTTAAAATAGTTTTTAAGAAAATATAATTTAAAAGATAAACTGATCTGCGTATAGCCAAAAAAAGTTTAGTAAAAAAGGATTCGTGGTCGGTTACGGGAAGGATTAGCACCCCTATAACGCCCAAAATTGGTACCCATTAATTATAAATTGTCTCTATTTTTGGAAATTTAAGAATTCAAAAATATATTTAATTCATAATCCTGTTATTTCAAATTTGTTAGTATAATTTTTTAAAAATATATTAATATATATATATATATTTAATATACATACATACATATATATATATATATATATATATATATATATATATATATATATATATATATATATATAATATATATATATATATATTTAAAAGTCTTTTTAAATAAAATATTTATTTACTTAGAAATATTAGAAAATGACTTATAGTTGCTTTAAGACATCCCCTTTCTTTATATTAAAAGATAAGTAAATATTAATAAAACATTTCTCTAAAAATATTTTAAAAAATAAATTAATATATATAATTTATAAAAGTAGGATATTTATTTATTTAAGAATATCATAAAAGGACTTCTAGTTCGTTTAAGACAACCATTTTCTTAATATTAAAAATAAATATTAAAATATAATTATTTTTCCTAAAATTAATTTATATAAAATTAAATTTATAAATAGGATTTTTATTTAATAGAAAAAATAAATAAATAAATAAATATTATTTATTATATATATATATATATATATACTTATATGACTAAATAATAATAATAATAATAATAATAATTAAATATATTGAAAATAAACATATAAAATTAAAATATAACTAAACAGTGACTAAAATAAATAAAATTAAAACTATAGTATTAAAATATAAAAAAACTTGTAGTTTAAAAATAAATGAAAGTATTAAAATTAGTGATTAAATTATAATATATTAAAATTAAATACCCTAATTTGTAATTAGTTATTTAAAATTTCAGTGGCTAAACATGCTATTTTACCTATTATTAATTTAGTGACTAAAATAAACATATAGTAAATTCGAACATCAAATTAAAATAAATTAAAACATGCTGTTCGTGATTAAATTATTAATTAATAAAATTATAATGGCTAACACTGTTATTTTTCCTAAATATATATAATTATGTAAAGGACTAATTTATAATAAACTAAAATTCGAATACCAAATTATAATAAATAAAAACATGCTTTAAGGATCAAATTGCAAGTTTTTAAACTTACAGTGGCTGCGGGAATAGTTAAACATGCGCG